AAAAAAAAAAAAAAAAAAAAAAAAAAAATTTTTAAAAAAGAATCTTCAATATCTTAACTTTATACTTCAAGGAACAACAACAACAAAAAGCAACCCAAAACTAGAAGGAAGGCAATAAAAAAAGAGCAGAGATAAACCAACTGAAGAAGAAAGAGAACAGCTGAATAGACTTAAAAACAAAATAAAAAACTTCCCTCACAGGAAAAAAAAAAAATCTAGGCCGAGACGGCTTCACAGATTAATTATAACACAGGAATAAGAATTAACACCAAGGGACTTCCTGGTGGTCCAGTGGTTAAGAATCCACCTTCCAATGCAGGGTACTCGGGTTGGATCCCTCGTTGGGGAACTAAGATGCCACATGCAGGGCATCTAAGCCCAGGCACCACAACTACAGAGCCCACATGCTGCAACTACTGAGCCCATGTGCCACAACTAGAAAGCAACTCACGTGCCGCAACGAAAGATCCCGTGTGCCACAACTAAGACCTGACGCACCCCTAAATAAATAAATAAATATATTTTTTAAAGAAAAGAATAAACACCAATATTTCACAAACTGTGCCAGAAAAAGAAGAGAAGGGAACATTTCCCAACTCATCCACTGAAGCCAAAATTATCCTCATACTCAATCCAAATAAAGACATAACCAGAAAAGAAAACTACACCATTGATAACTCTTATGAATACAGGAAATCAATTACTGTAATATACCACATTATCAGAATAAAGGACAAAAATCACATGGTCATTTCAATAGACATGGAAAAGCAATGCACAAAATCTAACGACTTTTCTCTATAAATGCCCTCAACAAACAAGAGAAGGAAACTTCCTCACCTGAAAAGGGCATATGCAACAAACCTACGGCTAACATCATACTTATTAGTGAAAGACTGAACGCTTTTCCCATAAGATCTGGAACAGGACAAGGATGTCTACTCTTACAACTTATTTTCAATAAAGTACTGAGGTTCTAGCCAACCAAGGCAGTTAAGCAAAGGAAAAAGTAAAAATATCTCTACTCACAGACGACATGACATTATAAATAGAGAAAATACCAAGGAATCCACCAAAAAGAATAACCATTAGAACAAATAAATGAGTTTAGCAAGGTTGCAGGATACAAGATCAGTATACAAAAATCAATTATATTTCTATACACTAGCAATGTACAATCTAAAATAAAATTAAGAAAGTAATTCCACTTAAAAGAGCATCAAAATGAATAAAATATTTAGAAATAAATTTAGCCTTGTACACTGAAAACACTTTAAAAAATTACAGAGCTAAATAAATAGAAAGACAACCATGTTCATGGACTGAAATACATTAAGGTGGCAATCCTGGGAATTCCCTGGCGGTCCAGTGGTTAGGATTCCACGCTTTCACTGCCGAGGGTGCGGGTTCAACCCCTGGTCGGGTAACTAAGATCCCACAAGCCACTCAACGCGACAAAAAAAAAACAAACAACAAAACACGGCAATCCTGCCCAAATTGATCTACTGATTTAAATTCACGGCTCACACCTGGCCCAGAGAGGCCCCTATAAAACTTCTTTGGGAGGAAGAAGGCCAAAACCAGAACAGAGAGGGCCCACAGCTTCAGCAAAGCCACGCAGCCAGAAAGAGGAAGAGCTGGATAGGATTTGTTAGGCAAACTGTAGACATCTGAACCCCAAGCCTTACTCCAGGAGCCTGTAGGGCAACAGGTGTTGAGGCTGCCAACAGGGCTGCTCAGAGAGAGGCAGGGGAAGAGCACACAGCCTCTGTGGGCTTTAAGATACACAGAACTTCCCATGGATTAAAGGCAGAGGTGGTCAGTTTGCTGAGGGAAAGTGTGAGAGACTTACCCAGTGAGCCAATGAGCGCAAAGTTCTCCAGCATAACATCACGGTACAGGCTCCTCTGGGTCAAATTAAGGATCCCCCACTCCTCTCGGGAGAAATACACAGCCACATCCTCAAAGGTCACCGGGGCCTGTAATGATGAATTCAACTGAGCCTTAGAGTCAATAGTGGGCAGAAAGCCAACCAAAATATGAACAGAGAAACACTTCCATGCCCATGACCTGTGTCTCAAGGTCCTGCCACATCTCTCACTGACATCATCTTTCCCTTTGAGCCCGCACCCCTCACATACCCTCATACCTCCTTCCTCCTAACACCCCGATCTCAGAGGATTCCCAGGGCCCCCAGTACCATTGGTGCCTCTCTCTTCATGTTGCTACTAAATTCTGCATCCAGCCCACAACAAAAGGCTGGTGACCAGAGAGATGCCATCTATGTACCCCGCCAAGCACTCAGGCCCCACCCTATTTCCTGCCAGCCAATTCTCTCCGTGTCCCAGAGATCACCTTTCACAAGGAAAAAAGAGTATGTTCTTCTCTCTCTCTTAGGCCTGAGTACATCATCCAAGGGCCCTCCAGTCTGTCCTCCTGCATGCAGACACATAACTGTACCGCAGCATGGTACAACTCCACACCCTCACCACAGCCTCGCCAGTCCACCCCACTGGCAACTCCCGCGTTCCACTGTGCACAGTGGTGTGTGTCTCCAGTGCGCTACCACAGAGAGCATCTTCAATCCCATCCTGCCTCGTCCACCCCACACCTCCCATGGCCCACAGCCAAGGACAACCCCCAGCTCTGCACAGAGGACCTACTCATCCTTCAACCCTCAGCCGCCGGGATCCACACACGGAGCTCCGAGACCCCCGGCCCTCCTCTTCTCTATCTATCTCTGCATAGACTGTTCCTTCACCTGTCATAGCCTTCCTCACCTGTCACGGGCTCATTCAGACTCTGGACCCGCTGGGTGGGGATCCGGGTGGTGAGAGCCTGGGCCGCACCTCCCACTCACCTGCGCCTCCTCTGCCATTGGAACCTGTGGGCGGAGAGTTTCAGCGGACGCAGCTGAGATCCGCACCCGCCACCCCGCCCAGCGCGCTGGAGCCTCCGGCCGACCGAGGAAAATGTGCCCGAGGACTGGGAGCAGCCTCGGGACGTTCTCAGGGTGCGACAGCGAGTCTCAGGAAAAGCGAGTCATGCCCGGGGATCACGGCGCAAGCAAAGGCGTGGCGAGGATCCCTGCGCTTCTCTCAGCCGGGGTGGTCTCTGCGGTTCGAGCGCTCCCCTCAAAAGTGCTCGCACCGACCACCAGCGGCGGCAAAACGGGTACCACACGGAAACGCCGGAAGTCCCGCTCCGCCCCGCCCCGCCCGTGCGCCTCCGTTAAGTCTGCGCCCGCGCTACCCGCGACCTCGTTCGGGGCGGGCGCGAATTACGTTTCCCATAAGTGACGTCGCAGACTGCGTCCGTACCGACGTAGCCAATGACAGCCCAGGAGAGGGGCGTTTCCGGGAGAGCCTCGTGCGCGGGGCGGGGACTTCCAGTGTCGGCTTTAGTTCCTTTGGACCCGCGCCGGGGCGGAGAGAGAGGGTTGCGGCCGCGGGGCCTGGCGTCCAGGAGGCTCCCCGGGCCCGCGGCCAGCGGAGCGGGCGAGGTGCGAGAGTCGGGGAGGTCCCACCACGCCCTGTGCCCGCGGTGACCGAGCCGAGTTGACCCCGGCCGTAGAGAGGTGCTACTGAAATGCACTCATTTCAAGTGCAAAGTTTGATGAGGTTGGAAAAGTAAATACACCCATTAATTAGATTCGAGTCACTCTCTGGAGTTATCTCCTTAGCCCGATACAGCTTTGTCCCACCCACCTCCATTATGCTGTTATTGGCAAATATATTTGTTTGTTATAGACCAAACAGTGCAATTATACTGGTTTTATACAGTTGCTTTTAAAATAAGAAATAAGAATTTACGCTTTCTTTTATACACATGTCAATCATTACAGTATCATACAGAATAGTTTTGCTGCATGAAAAATCCCCTCTGCTCCATCTATTTACCCCTCCCTCCCCCTGAGTCCCTGGCAATCACTATTTTACTGTCTCTATAGTCTGGCCTTTCCCAGAAAGTCATAAAGTTGGAATCATACAGTATGTACCTTTTTCAGACTGACTTTTTGACTTAGGAATACACATTTAAGATTCCTCCATGCCTTTTTGTGGCTAGATAGCTCAGTTCTTTTTATTGCTAAATAATATTCCATTGTATGAATGTACCAGTTTCTTTATTCATTTACCTATCGAAAGGCATCTCAGTTTGATTCCAGTTCTAAGCAATTATGAATAAACCTGCTATAAACATTCCTGTTCTAGTGTCTGTATGGACATGTTTTCAACACATTTATATAAATACCTAGGAGTGTGATTGATGGATCATATGATAGGACTGTATTTAAGTTTGTATGAAACTGCCAATTGTCTTCCTAAGTGGTTATATCATTTTGCATTCTTACCAGCAGTGAGTGAGAGTTCTGGTTCCTCCTGTTGTCAGTATTTTGGGTTTTAGCCATTCTAATAGGTATGTAGTGATACTGTTTAAATTTGCAATTCCTTAAAGACATATGATGTTGAGAGTATTTTCATCTGCTTATCTCTGCCATCTGTGTATCTTCTTTGGTGAGGTGTCTGTTCAGATCCTTTGCTTTTTTTTTTGGCCGTGCCACGTGGCATACGGGATCTTAGTTCCCCTACCAGGGATCGAACCCACGCCCCCTGCAGTGGAAGTCCGGAGTCTTAACCACTGGACCGCCAAGGAAGTCCGCATTATCCTTTTAAAACTGACTTCGTATTCTTGAGTTTTAAGAGGCTTTGTTTATTTGTGGGGGTTTTCTTGGTACATTTTGGATAAAAGTCCTTTATCAGATTTATGTTTTGCAAATATTTTCCCCTAGTCTATGGCTTGTCTTTTCATTCTCTTTCATGGTATCTTTCACAGAGCAGAACTTTTAATTTTAGATAAGTCCAACTGAATTTTTTTCTTCATGGATCATGCTTTTTGTGTTGTATCCAGAAGTCATCTCAATGCCAAACTGAAAGTCACCTAGATTTTTTTCCCCATGTTATCTTCTAGAAGTTGTACAGTTGTACACATTTAACTCTATGATTATTATTAATTTTTTTTTTTTGCAGTACGCGGGCCTCTCACTGTTGTGGCCTCTCCCGTTGCGGAGCACAGGCTCCGGACGCGCAGGCTCAGCGGCCATGGCTCACGGGCCCAGCCGCTCCGCGGCATGTGGGATCTTCCCGGACAGGGGCACGAACCCGTGTCCCCTGCATCAGCAGTCGGACTCTCAACCACTGTGCCACCAGGGAAGCGCCAAGGATTATTTCTTAATGCTCAGCTAAGTGTAAGTCTTTAAGACTGAACCACACGTTTAAAAAACAAGGCACACTGAATCAAGATGAATGGGAAACCATCCTAATAAACACATTTTAGATTAAAAAAAAAGACTGGACTACATGTGTCACAGGGGTGGTCTTCTGGGTGGAAGGACCTCCCTTGAGGACTCGTGACACTCTTACAGAAACACCCTGCTTGAAAGGTGCCTCCTCATCCCACACTCCAAGTCAGCAACGGGAAAGCCAAGAAATGCTGGCAAAAGTGCATCTTGACTTTGATAGGAGAGGACAGCCCCATCACACATGTGTGTCTGACACCCAGAATATGTCCATTGCGGAGGCTTGAGTCAGGTTAATGGGCTACTGTGCAGGATCACAGAGTGGAAGATTCCTCATGAAGGGCAAGGAGACGGGGACGAAGCACAGAAGATGGAGAGTCTGCTTGGAGGTAGACTCTCAAACACACTCCTCTGTAAATGGGTTTCATCTGTGAACATTGTGTAGAAGGATGTGTTCAGGCCCAGGAAAATCCAGCTGTAACTGAGTAACTGGTGCTCAAGGACTATTCAAGCATACGTGCACACCTCATGATACACTAAGTGAAGGCCGACTCGGAGAGCACTGCAGAAGGAGCGGTGAAGAGTGAAGGAGCACTGCAGAGAGGAGCAGATAAGAGGCAGAGGACAGAGAACAGAGAGGTGGGAAACAGGCAGGGGAGGAAGTCAGACTAGAAATGGCAATCCTGGGAGTTCCCCGGTGGTCCAGTGGTTATGACTCTGCGCTTCCAATGCTGGGGGCCTGGGTTCGATCCCTGGTTGGGGAACTAAGATCCTGCAAGCCATGTGGCGTGGCCAAAAAAAACAAAAAAAGAAAAAAGAAATGGCAAGAGGGTGGAATGTCCAGAAAGGGGAAGGAACAACAGGCGTATTCATTTCTTAGGCTGCCATAACAAAGGACCAGGAACTGGGTGAATTAAAACAACACACGGGTCTTCCCTGGTGGCTCAGTGGTTAAGAATCCGCCTGCCAATGCAGGGGACACAGGTTCAAGCCCTGGTCCGGGAAGATCTCACATGCCACGGAGCAGCTAAGCCCTGCACCACAACTACTGAGCCTGTGCTCTAGAGCCCGAGAGCCACAACTACTGAGCCCGTGTGCCACAACTACTGAAGGCCACCCGCGTACCGCAATGAAGATTAGCCCCCGCTCGCCACAACTGGAGAAAGCCCATGTGCAGCCACGAAGACCCAACGCAGCCAATAAATAAATAAATAAACAAACAAAACCAAAAAACCCAGACGTTTATTGTCTGACAGTTGTGGGGGCTAGAAGTCCAGAATCAAGGTGTCAGCAGGATCACGTGCCTTCCATAGTGTCCAGAGGAGAATCTGTTCCTTGCCCCTTCCATCTCCTGGTGGCTGCCAGCCTTCCTTGGCTTGTGGCCACATTACTCCAGTCTCTGCCTCCGTCGTCACATCTCTTTCTCTGTCTTCTCTGTCTCCCTCTTGAAGGGTACCTGTGATTACACTGAGGGCCTACCCAAAGAATCCAGGATAATCTCCCCATTTTAAGATCCTTGATCACATCTGCAGTTTCTTCAGCCATATAAGGTAAGTAACATTCACGCATTCTAGGGATAAGGACATGGATATCTTTGGGGGCCATTATTCTTCCCACTACAGAGCCCTTCACTCTGCTTAAGGGGGGAGTCCAGAACTGCTGGGAGCATCAAGCTCTGGACTGGCCTCTTGGCAAGGGAGGGGCCACCTGTGTTGATGAGACAAGTCTGTATCCCATGGGGGGTTGGGGGGACCACCCAGAGCGGGCTGGATCAGAAGAGCCATACTCCAGCCTGGTGCAGACGTGAATGATGCTTCTCAGACCACATGCACACAACCAGTCAAGAAAGGACACTCGCTTCTAGGGATCCCTGGAAATCAAAGTCGAGAGTCGTGAGTAATTTTAAGCCAGGGCTCTGCAGACTACAGCCTGTGGGCCAAATACAGGCCATTTTCTGTTTTTGTCTTGTCCCCAAAATGAGAACAGTTCTTACATTTTTTTAGTGATTGAAAAAAAAATCAAAAGAATACTATTTCATGACATGAAAATTACATGAAATTCAGATTTCCACGTCCATAAATAGAGTTTTATTGGAACACAGCCATGGCCATGCATTTACATATTGTTTATGGTACTTTGACTCTATGGTGGCAGAGCTGAGCAGTGACCAGAAACTTCACATCCTGCAAAGGTGAAAATATTCACTATCTGGCTCTTTACAGAAAAAGTTTGCTGACCCCTGATTAAGAAGTCATAGAGCTGAAGAATTTAACCACAGGAGCGGCGTGTAAAACAAAGGTGGCTGGAAGGAATTTGCTGGAGGAGCAGAGGATGGGGATGGCCACACTCAGCAGTTGCAGTGCGACTGACTCCAGCACTGCCTGCAGGTGAAGATCGAAGATTGCGAGGGCGCCCTCCCATCACAAGTCAGCAGCTGGCAGGAGGCGGCCATGCCAAGCCCTGCCAGACAGCTAGGAGCTATCTCAGAGCCCTCGGTTCCGAAGACTGACTAAAAGGACACATTGAACTCAGAACATCTGTCAAACTCTTAGTTACAGTTTATTACAATGAAAAGGTATAAA